ATGGGATCGCAAAATGAAGTGTTGGGATCATAGAAATTCAGATACATACATTTAAAGAAACATTACTAGCTTTCCATTATTTAATTGATTACATTTTTTGCACAGGGCTATTAGAAAATCAGAATATTAGCGAAGTCAAGTTGTAAATTGTATTTATATATAGAAAAATACCACTAACTATAGTATAATAGCAATTTTGCATTGCAGTTTTTTGTTATTTAACTGTTTGAGAAATATGCGAAAAATGTGCCAAAATATGCCAGAAATACGCAGCTAGTAACTTGCTAAGCCACACAGGTATGCTGAGAATACGGTCAGTGCCACTAATGTGACTATTGTCTTTACCTTAAAATACGCACTTCATAGGCGATTCCATCAATTCCCATTTTAAATCATAACAAATAACATTTTAAATCACTCAGTACTTACTTTAAGTCATTTGAGATTGAGTCAGCCTTCATTCACATGCTTTTCATGAACCAAACCTATTAAATGGAAATAGAGTAGAGGGAAAATGGTATACTGGACCACGAGATTGAATCGCCAATGAACCAAAATATCTTGCCAAAAACTGGCTGCGTATTCTTATACCTCGCCATGTGACCGTATTTTAACACTGGCTGCGTGTTCTTATATTTTGCCACATAATTCTATATTAGCACCATGTCGCATTTTGGCTTTCACTACATGTTCTTAAATTATTCATTATTGATGAGGTTTTTGAACTTGTATGAGTTTATTAAAAAATATATTAATTGCATTTTTTTGGTGTGTGTATGTTTGTTAGTTTCTGTGTGTGTGTGTGTGATAAGAAGTTAACAATTTTTAATTTACCAAGTAATGATGTAGATGCCATATCATTTTTCCAAAAAAAGAGGTCTTACTTGACAAACGAGTAAGCAAAAATGGCTGCAACATGAAACTTTATGTTAACAATGAAACCATTTGGAGGCGTAAAGTTAAAAATTGCAAACAGAACGGCCTTTGTGCTGGAAATTGTTTCAGTGATTCCAGAATATAGCTCATCACTGCTAATAGATTTATGTATTCTTGGGCAGAGAAGTTGACCTCCATGAAATCATGTAACAAACAGCTTGACATGTGTGAAAGTGCTACAGTTGACTGGAACAATTACTTGTGATAAAATAATAAGAAATAATAAGAATTCTATACACATGTAACAATATGTATTATTGTTATTGTTATATAATGTGTCATTTATTTTTATACTTGCGCTTCATGAGCTGGGTGAAATTATAGCCGAGATTGTGACGTAAACCTAAAATCGCCAAATATGATTGGAAGCCACTATAACACAGATGTACCGTGAAAATATTATGCAATTCAACCCATCTGGTGCAGCTGTCATTCCCTTGGTTATGACGGAAGTCGCATGCAGAATATTATATCAAAGTTCCTATTTTAAAGAGACTATAGTGCAGTGATAACACTTCTAGGATAGTCAGTTTTTTTTATTTATTGCATGAATACATCACAAAAAACAGTGTAATATTGCATATTGTTTTACTCAACTAAGGTTATTTATTTGAATTATTACTATAAGAGATCCTATTTTATTCATATTTTTAGGGAAAAAATATTTTTATCCATGAATAAATGGTTCAACAAAAATGCAGAGGGCAATGCTAAAAAGTCTCTTCAAGGAGGATTTAGCAACCAGAAAGAGACAACAAAGATGTGAAAAAGAAAATATGATGAAGGCATTTAATTTGATGAACAAAGTGTTTAATTGGCAACATTGTTTTGGCAATGGAGAGTATCAAACTTTCAATAGTAAAGAGGCACCATAAATCCAGGCATCGTTCATATGCCAATAAACTAAAAGAATATTTTGAATGGCTGTCAAAATCTAGAGAAAAACAATATTTTAAGAAACTTGTGACTGCTAGCAATAAATACTTATTCAGGTTATGAAAAATTTCATTTCCGCTTGCTAAAAATAAAAAGCCATATACCAATGTTTGTCAAACTGTGGCCTGTGCATGTGATCCTCCAAGATTTGCAAAAATGTCCTAGACGAAATTAACAAGATTTTACATCATTTCTGGCTGATGACAAGTGGCTAACTACACTGGCATATCTTTCGGATGTATTCTCAAAACTAAATATACTAAATCTTTATTTACAATGTAATTCTTTAAGTATTCTCATCGCCGATGAGAAAGTAAGTAAAGCAGTTTGAGAAGAAACTTGACATTTGGGTTATTTGTCTGAAACAGAAATTCTCAGCATTTATGAAATATTCAAGAAAATAATATTGTTACTGGAAATGAATTATGGAATGACATGTACATCGAAACTCTGAAGTCACAGTTTCAAGCTTATTTTCCAAGAGATCAGTAAAATAATTTTTCATGGGTTCTTGATCCTTTCCAATGCAAATTTGAAAATAATCTGTCACCGAATAAAAGAGAAAAATCAATTGAACTCTCTAATGATACTAGATGTAAAACGGAATTCCAAGCAGAAGGTACTATTAATTTCTGGACCTAATTAGTGATGAAAGTGGATTATAGTGAACTGAACAATGGTACTTTAAAAATAATTCAGTTTCGCTACACATATTTGTGTTACACAAATAAAAGCAACATGTCAAATTGAATTTAATGTATGTGCTTATCTCAGATTTAAAATTTTCTTCTGTCAACTTAGTTTATTAGTATTAATATAAAATTAAACTAATTTTAATTAATTATATTTTAAAAATATATAAGTATACTGGTAGTAACATGTACTAAATATTGTTTTTGAAGGAGGCAAGAGAAAAGTTGTCTTCAGAACACTATAATTTATAAAAACACTTGAAAAATGTTTGAGAAAGCTATGCCAATATATCAATATCCAAGGAGCTTGGCTCATTTCAGTTTAATAGCTAACATAATGAATGTGCAATCACACTTGTTTGGCCATCAATACTGCCAGTGTATAATCCTACATATGTCTGATAAGTTATATAGATCGATTTGATCGTGACAACACGAAGAAACACACATGATGTTGCTAAAAAATGAAATTTGCAGTTCCTCAACATAAACTGTAATACAGCTTGAATCTAAGGCAGCAAGCTTAAACAAACACTAGCATCCTGTTAGGCTGTTTTTTAATAATACTACAAGTATAAATATAACCAGACTGTTGCTGCATTTATATTTGGCAACAATCTAGTGGCGTCAAATGATAAATGGATTATTATGGCTATAAATAGCTTAAATGGCCACCGTGGGCACTAACATATGATAAGACAGCCCAGATTGGTATTAATTCAAGCAGTTAAAATGTTATCTGACTGAATGTGCAATCTAACTTTACACGCATTCATTGTTATCAATATTACCAGGGTATGATTCTACATATGTCTAAGTTGTGAGGTACATGGATTTGATCAATATTACCAGGATATGATTCTACATATGTCTAAATTGTGAGATACATGGATTTGATTGAGACAACATGAAGTAAAGCATTATGCAACCCAAAACATGCTTTCAAAAAATGGAATTTTGCAGTGTCTCAATACAGGTCATAAAACAGCTTGCAACATATTACAGAAAAATTGCTACTAATCACTTACAGCTATACTCTTGGCAAAGCTTCTTATGAATGAATTTTTTTTCCTTTAAAAAAACATCAGCAGTTCTTAATATTAGTTAATAGAAGCTAAAAGACCGAACTAATCATATTAAGATTCTCTCGAGAACCTGCTATAGATATGTAACAGGTGCTTTTTGAGAGAATACCAAGATTATGTAATATAAATATTAACAGATAATCATGTTACATAACACATATAATTATTTCAAGTACACAATTTAATATTCCATTATTACCTACTAGCATTTTATTACCAGAAAGTTTTTTTTTTTTTTCTTTTTTGAATTAGTTTACAAACGAAGGGGAAAAAAAAAGAGAAATGTTTACTTTTCTAGCTTTAAACATTTATTTTACAGAGTTTGTACACATTTCTACATATGGAAATTAAGTATTTTTAAGGACTATCAATGAAAAATATTAAGAACCTACCAAGAAATAGGACTGAATCATTTAAAAAAAATTATTTATGCCCTAACTTCACTTTTGTAATGCCATTTTAAGAATGAAGCAGATCTCTAGGTGTTATCTATTGTGATCAATCATAATTATAAAACAAATTCGAGAATAAAAGAAACCTCAAAATATTTTTCAAGTAACTACCATTAACTGTAAAAATTTCTTAAAAAATTTTATTTTACACTTAAAACACGCCGCACAAATTTTAAAGATGTTTAGCGACATTTAATTAAATTTTACGAACAGTTATTTTTATGTTAATTAATTTGCTTAGTCCTAAGGTGTATGCAAATTTTATGCCCAGCAGCTTAGGTTCAAATGACAAACAAAATTATAATTAGCATGATTTGCGAGTATTGGATATTGGCACAGTTAGTAAGAGCTGAAAGTTAGTAGCATGTTGTTTGTCTGATCCAGTTTGCATGGTAGCTCCTTGTAGAATTGCTGCAGTCTTAAAATCTAACACATAGGCAAATAATCTTTTAATTATCAGATCTGACTGAAATGCAGTAAATATGTAAGATTCAGCATGTGTATGTCATATATTTGCAGATTTTGAATTTTTTCTCTTCCTCCAATAGAATTTATGAATCCTCAAATATGATACCTTGGAACAAGGTATATTAATTTCATAACTGCAAAATATTGAGTATTCACAGGGTAATGCTGCCATTTAGAATCCAAAGGAAACACTAATCTTACGATTACAGCTTTTGGTGTAGAAAAATTAGCATTTAAAAAAATTTTTAGGTTAAAAAATTGACAAACATCTGGTATAATTTATATACCAGTGCCCTTTAAAGGTTTAAAAAGGCTTTTCAAATCTCAAATGATGAATCTCATCCTGAGAAAGCTACAGGCAAAATAAATACTAATTTACATATAACAGAACAACAAGTAACTTTAAATAAATTCAAATGAAAAAAACTTACCAATGTAGTTATTGGCTCTCCTAAGACTTTGGCAGCTGCAGTAAATTCGTCTACAACTCCCTCGATGATTTTTTCAAATTCCTCTAACACATAGGGCTAAAAAAATTATGAAACTTCAGCACTTATGATAACACTTTTGGGAAAAAATAATTATTCATTCAGAGTGTACATAAAAAGGGCACTGAGGGATGTTACTGATTTATGAAAGAAATTAAACCAAAACTGTATTACAATACTGTCACTTTAGACTGATCATATAAAATGTTTTAAAAATCTTCGGATTCCACATTAGAATTTAAAGAAATCTGGTTATCTATTTAATTGCACGCATTTCTAAAATACAAAGATGATTAACTTACATTAATAAATCCCCAAACTGAAATTATGTCTAAATTTTTGGCATTATTTTATTAAAATCATGTCCTTGAAATTGAATAGAAAACAAGAAAGAAAAACTTCTACACTACTAGTTCACTTAAATTACATTTTTTACACCATATTAACCCATTGCCCGTTTTACACCCTGAGTAAAAAAAGAGACCAAACTTGGAAGAAAATTTCCAACCTTTGTCCTGTAAGAGGGCCTTATTTCCAACTCTGAGTGCGTCCCAAGATGATTTTGCCTTGCAGCAGAAATAATTTCCTCCCCCCACTCATTTTCCAGTCTCCTAGTAGACGAACTGTTTAGTGCCGAAAAGTGTACAGGGTTGGCCCTCCCTTTCCCCTCTCATTTATGGCAGCGGTAGAATAGAAAATCCTTTATCTTGTGTTCTGTAAAAATCTTTCTCAAGACTGAGTTTTCTTGTTCAGCAGAATCATATATAGTTCGACCATCTCAAACGCATCGTTGGCTGGCATTCTGCCAAAACACATAGACTCATCCAAAAGGGGCGTTATTACTTGCTGCGATGTGAAAGGTCACGCAAAGACCTCAGGAAAGAGAGAATTTATATGCTCTAGGGAAAGAAAGTCCCCATCCTTCCACTCTATTTTGAGAATAAATCAGTCCGAATAGCACATGCGTGTTTGTGCTCATGGTCGTGGATGAGGTGGTCGAACTATACTAAAAACCAGGAATTATTGATCACAATTTCTATGCCTGCAAAAACAGCATTTTCTCATCTATTATAATATAAAATGCCATTTTCTACAAAACCTTACATTTGTTACTTCATTTATTCCTCTATTAGATTTTCATTTTTGTTTTATGATTTTTATTATCACATTTATAAATACAGAACACTGTTTTGAGCAGTAATAGTTGAACAAAATAAAATATCAATATCATTTTAAAAAATGATTTCTTCACTTATATTTACTGAAAAAAAAATGACCAAGAATTTTTTCTGTAAACTGAACAGGTAAATGTTATTAAACTGGGTCAGAAATAAACATAAAAGATATTTACTTCTGTTATGTTTAAAAGTTATGTATTTGTCACTTATGTACCTATTTAATTTATCAAATAATAAGAAAATGCATCTAACAGTGATATTGAGACATACACTCTAAATAGACAGAAATAAGACATTAAAAATGATGTCCGAAATCAGTTGTGTACAATCATGAACATTTGTTTGCTTCATTTATTGATTATGAATAACAAAAAATTGTTGATCACTGTTTGATGTCTAATTGCTTCAAATGAAATGCATAATATTGTGATTTATATCGAATAATCATTAAAAATTTCACAAAAAAATGAATTTATTAATATTTTCTTTCAATTTCTAAATTCTATACAACAATAATATTTTAATTTTCAGAAGAATTGCTGATTTGTTTATTTAGAAATATTCTGATAACTATCTCATTTTAATCCATCAAATTTCAATTTTAATTAAAAATTTAACATTTTTCTGTAAAATTATTAATCAACTGAAAGTCATTTCTTGTTGCAGGTTAAAATGTCGAATTATTAACAACTCTTAATTGAACACACAATTTTAATGATGTTTTATAAATATTTCAGTATTACAATGTTGACTGATATAATCTGAATGGTTTACATGCATCTGGGTTCTACTGTTCTTTATTCTTACATGTGCATACAAATATATTAAAGAGATGAAAACATTATGCTTAAATATATCTGTGACAAAACAAAATGCCTTAGAAATATTTTTTAGTTTCATGCCATGCTGCTAAGTTAGTACACGATTACAATCTATATAATAGATGATATTTAGATTTGAAAATAAAACTTAAAAACTTGACACAGTAATATCTCAATTTTTCTAATATTAAGTGCAAATTTGCAAAGTTCGTCCCATTATATTCATATTTTACTCAAAACATATGAGGATTCTCTGCCTAAGGAAAAGAATGCCTTTTTCTTCAAGAAAATAACTTGTATTAATGTTACACATGGAGGGGAGAAGTAACAAAAAGGTGAGTACTGTCAGTTTGTTCATCAGTATTCGAAGCCAGGTGGAACTACCATGGTTCAATGTTCTCAATTACTCATGCTCTAATGGGTCTCATGAGCTTCACATTTTTGTTGATCAGGCTAATTTATGTCAAAATCACAAGAAATTTAGCAAAATTTTAAAAACTCCTTTCTGATAAAAATATTTCAGTAATTTTGATTTATCAGAAATTTAAAAATGTGTCAGGTTTCTGGGCTTACAACAGAGTTCTTGGATGCCCATACATACGCTAATACCAACATATCAGCATATATGTATGTGAACACATAACAGGTAAATTTAGTCATTTTAATTATAAATGATGTACTCCTTGTACATCATTTATATTTAAAATGTTTTATCATAGAGTAATCTTCATACTAAATATACAAATATCTAAATATAAAAGTATTTGAAACTTAAATTAGGAATTGCAACAAATTATTTCATAGAAATGTGCTATGCCTGTATCAGTCTAGTAACAATCAACTATTCATGAATAATGTTGTATGTATGTCATGTAACAATTTGTCAGCAGTACAGAGGCTATTAATTTAGAGGAGATAATTTCAATACATGTATGTGCCTTTTGTTTTTGCACAGTTTTTCCCTCCTTATATTTAAGCTAAACAAATAATTTTTTTTTTTTCTTTTCTGTAGCTTTTACTTATTTGTTTCTTAAAGTATATACACTAAAATCAGTGATATTTTTAACTATTCTAAATTATTTCTATTTTATTTATTTTATTCCCAGAAATATGAAATAATTTACATTGATAAAGATAGTTCGTACGCTAAAAAGTTTCTTAGATACAGTGGTTCCGTGAAAATATTAACATAAGTAAAATAAGGTGCAATGAAATGTATAATAAAGATAAAATAATACAAACACTTGAATATTTACAAATAAAATTAAATACTAATGTAGCATATGCTAATCAAAGTAAGCATATTTAAAAACTAAGAATTAAAGTGCAGCAATGATTAAAGCAAAAAAAAAACTAAAAGCGGTAAATGGTAGATTAGCCTATTTGAATTTCATATGGCTCTTCAGGGAAAGTTATTTTAATGACTTTCGAATCAAGCTAACTCCAAATGCATTCGCCGAAACAGACAATTGTAAACTGGATACGAAAACACTTTTTATAATTATTGAAAAAACTTTACCAAAATCTTTAGTTTCAATTCTCTGTCAATTTTCCCCGACGTGTCCGCTTGAAGAAACACATAAGGTATAATAAAAACTATAGACAATGGATTGGTAATGTCGATATAGAAAATAAAATTAATAGCGATTTGCCTATTAGTCAAATATACAAGTTTTTTATGGAAGGACCTACTAGCTTATAAGTTTAAAACTTTGTAAAGTACTAAAAAATTAAAAATAATAAAATAATATATAATAATAATTGATATGCTTAAATTTGAAATTCATAATTAATATTTTACTGTAGCTCTCTGAAAAATTCAATTTCTCTTCAAATAAAAGAAGATTAATAAAACTCAGAAGTTTTTCCAGGCTTTATTACAATAAAATTTTAAAATCAGCTGTTGTATATCTGTGTTGGTTATAAGAAATTATCTCATTCTTCTTCGAGGGCTGTCATGGTGTCAGTGATAGCAGGGTCAGACTAGCAGTCAGAAGGCCTGTGGTTAGTATCCCAGTGACAGCATAGCAGATTTTTCATATTTTCTCCTCTGAAAAACCTAATGTCTCTACAGAGATAGCCGAATGAAAACATGATAGCTGATAATTCATCAACACATGAATTAGGCCAACAAGGTCTTCTGTTTCTTCTCACTCACCCTTTAAGTGAAAGAAAATAAAAAAGAGTTCTGTCATTTCCCCTATCTAGCTATAGGATAGCATTTGGAAGGCCTTACTGTTAGAATCATGAGGGCTCTCCTGAATTTTTCACAGATCTTGCTTAAAAAAAAAACTTCCTGTTCATGCAGCTTTCAAAATTAGTTCTCCTTTTGCAAATTTACTTTTCCATTACTGCATGGTTACAGATGAAACAAAGCTTTCTGTCACTTTCTTAAGCTTAGGTATTATTAGCAGAAAAATGTATTGTCACATTAAAAATTGGTTTTAATGCCGATCATATATTTGATTTTTTAATCCAGCGTTTCCCAACCTTTTTTTTGTTCGCGTACCATTTGGTAGTACATCATGCTAAATTGTACCCCTTTGTAAAAATGATCGTATTTCATGAAATTTGTTATTGCGAGTGTGTTATTTTATTTGCGTCATAAATTTTACAAGGTGACCATGTAATGAGACAAATTACATTCAAATACACCTAAATGTCATGCCAGATTATAAGCTCCCTGAAATTATAAACTTGCTGTAACATATATATATATATATATGCGTATGTGTTTGTTCAGTTTCATATTCATCTACTATTTTGTCATATTTCGTTTACTAATAAATGGTTTTAATAAAAACACAAAATTATAAAAATCAATTTATTTTCTTATCATAATCAAATATTTTTATAAAATTTAATGAGATCCTCATACTTGTTTCGAAGAACGTAATTTTTTTAAATAGGTTCAAAAGATGAGAGTTATATCCTCAAGTCTACAGCTACATTCAATCTGTTTCGTAATTTATTTTTTAACCCTCTCAGCATTACAAACGGATTTTTCCGTATTAAAAGATGGCTTTCCAAATCGTCAAAC